TGGTAAGTGTGTCGATGGTGGTGGTGATGATCTCATTGATGCTGATGGTGGTGACGATGGCGATGGCGATGGCGATGATGATGTTAATGATGATGGCAACGATGGTGATGACGATGCTGATAAGTATGCTGATGACGGCGAATATTACGGTGGTGATGTTGATGGTGGTATTGGTGATGACAATGACGATGATGCGGGTGACGACGACGGAATGGAATAACGACGGTGATGCTGATGGTGATGCTTAACATGATGATGATAATGCAGCGTTTGCTGCTGATGATGATGACGAAGACGTTGATGATGACAATGATGAACACGATGATGATGATGATGATGATGATGACGATGATGATGACGATGATGAAGTTGACGACGGCGGTGATCATGTGATGACGGCGGCGATGGTGATGGTGATGGAGATGTTGATGATGATGTTGATGCTGATGATGATGCTCACGATTTGACGATGATGATGGCGATGATGGAACACCCATCGGGCATCATAAGGATGCGGTATCGTGAACGGGCGGGGAAGCTGAGGGATGATAAGTGTTGCTATCAATAGACGTGTGCGTGTACACGCTTACGGAGTTAGATGTGCATCTACACATAATGCTTGCAATCGCTATGTATGTACAAGCATCTATATATGCACATTTATACATATGTATATATATACATGCAAACATAGATGCATGTACATACATAGTGATTGCAAGCACTAGGTATGTACACACACATCGACTCGGGACGGACTCTACACGCTGGATACCCCTGCTGCCCAGGTGAGTGGGCGCGGCCGCGCGCTTCGACGCCCACGAGCCCTTCGACAGGGGAAGGGTTCGTGGCATTCTTTCTTGAGGGAAGTCGAGAGATCAAGATCTCTCGAGGCGCGCTGGCACCCAGCAACAAGAAACGACATATCGATCGAGATTCGTTGGCCGACGGGCGACCGAGAGATTCGTTGGCCGACGGACGACCGATACGGAGGTAATGAGGAGCAACGAGGTCAGCAATAGGAAATGCGATAGGGGGGAGGGGGAGGAGGAGGAGGAGGAGGAGGAGGAGGAGGAGGAGGAGGAGCAGGACGGGTGAAGGAGGACACATGAGGTGACCTGCAAGTACTCTCGTGAGTTAGCTGCAGATGTGCACATGCGCGTGAGTTGTTGAGGGGTTGCTGGTGGGTCGACCGATGTGCGGAGCTATAGGATGAATGTGGATATTGCTCGCAACTCATGTCCGTGAGCTCCGCATGCTGGCACCATCTCATCAGCTGGCTGCTCGCCATGGCCTTTCCAGATCGACCGCGCGGGGCCCCTCCAACGCTGCAATCTGGTCCTCGAGGCTGCAGGCGAAAGGGGTTGCATGAGGGAGGACGCATCGACTAGCAGTTGCGATACCAAGAGGGAGGAGTGTGCGTCTCCCTGGGAAGTTGCGGTGCCATCTCTCGCGCTACGGGGGAGCCACGGACCCACGTGCAATTAGACGTGGTTTGCACTGCCTGTGCGTACGCGTGCTCATATATATATATATATATATATATAGAGAGAGAGAGAGAGATTCATGCATGGGCTGGTGTGCATTTAAACGTGTGGTGGCAATCATGTGTGGTGTGCCCACATGCATCATAAGATCATGATGTTTCCAAGTGCATATCTGGATAAACGCATACCATCTTGTGCTACACGGGAAGGGCTGCTCGCAATCCTGGGTTGCACGCCCCCCGCCCACCCCCCCACCCCCAATGCATATGCATAGGACCACCCAGCAACCCCACCCACCCCCGCTGGATCCGCACATGAATTTCGCGAGCCTCGCGAATGGGATCGCCCACCCACCCCCAGCAGCAAGGCGCGGCGCCCCCGCCAAGCGCATGCATTCCCACACCCTGCCTGTGGGTATCGAGTCGCATCGTCGACGCCGTCGCCGTCGACGACCACGTCGGCGTTCGTCGTCGGTGCCTCGTCGTTGTCGCCCACCCCATCCAATTGACCAGGGGGTGGGTGGGGGGCGCGGCGGGGCCCATGTAGAATTTACACATTGCGTATGTACACACATATGTGTATGCATAGGGCATGTGCGTATGTGCATTTATAATGCATGTATTTACACTTATGCATGTATGTGTGTATGTGTGCATGTGTGTATGTATGTACGTATGTATGTATGTATGTATGTATGCATGTAGGTATGTATGTTTGTATGTGTATACGTATGTATGTATGTATGTATGTATGTATGTATGTATGCAGAAGCGTATGTAGATGTATATATGTGTATGTGTTTGTTTGTGCGTGAGTACGTGTGTATGTATATGTGCGCATGGATCAAGGCGTGCGCGCACGCGCGCGAGTGCACGGCGCATGCGGCAAAGAGACAGACCCGCCGCACAGGTGCACCTGGGCTTCCTGCAGGGCGCCAGCGTTGCATCCGTACTCGGCCGCGGACATGACTTCTATGGCCACGCCGAACAAGAACGCCTACCCTCGGGTCTGTCGGGGGGCCCGCCAAGGGCCCCATGCCCTCGGGGGCCCTCGGGGCCCCCAGCCGAGGACCCCGCGGGTCCAATGTCGCGGGCCTATATATAGGGCCTCGTCGGGCCCCAAGTGGCCCGACTAATTGATCGAAACGCGACGGGCCGCGCCAGGCCCGTTGGATCGATCGGGGCGGGGCCGCGCTGGCCTCCGAAACCCCATCGGAACCCTCGGGGGCCCGCGCGGGCCCCGTCGGGGCCCGCGGGTGCGTGGCGTGGGCCGATCGGTCTGGCCCAGGAGCCCATCGGGTGGGCCCGAAGCCCCATCAGAACCCTCGGGGGCCCAGCTGGGCCCCGCGCGAACCCCGTCGGGGCCCGCGGGTGCGTGGCGTGGGCCGATCGGTCTGGCCCAGGGGCCCATCGTGTGGGCCCGAAGCCCCATCGGAACCCTCGGGGGCCCAGCTGGGCCCCGCGCGGGCCCCGTCGGGGCCCGCGGGTGCACGGCGTTGGCCGATCGGTCTGGCCCAGGGGCCCATCGGGCGGGCCCGAACCCCCATCGGAACCTTCGGGGGCCCATCAGGGCATCGCGCGGACCCCGTCGGGGCCCGCGGGTGCGCCTCAAAAGCTCATGGGGGGGGGGGCGCCGACGGGCTTTGGGCGCCGCGGACGTGCGCCCCGTGATAATGTTCCCGTAATGTTCCCGTAATGTTCCGTAATGTTCCGTAATGTTTTCATGTTCCCGTAATGTTCCCGTAATGTTCCCGTAATGTTCCGTAATGTTCCGTAATGTTCCAATTTTCCCGTAATGTTCCCGTACTGTTCCCGTAATGTTCCGTAATGTTCTGTAATGTTCCATGTTCCGTAATGTTCTAATGTTCCCGTAATGTTCCCGTAATGTTCCGTAATGTTCCGTAATGTTCTAATGTTCCCGTAGTGTTCCCGTAATGTTCCCGTAATGTTCCGTAATGTTCTAATGTTCCCGTAATGTTCCCGTAATGTTCCGTAATGTTCCGTAATGTTCTAATGTTCCCGTACTGTTCCCGTAATGTTCCCGTAATGTTCCGTAATGTTCCGTAATGTTCCATGTTCCGTAATGTTCTAATGTTCCCGTAATGTTCCCGTAATGTTCCGTAATGTTCTAATGTTCCCGTAATGTTCCCGTAATGTTCCCGTAATGTTCCTGTAATGTTCCGTAATGTTCCGTAATGTTCTAATGTTCCCGTAATGTTCCCGTAATGTTCCGTAATGTTCCGTAATGTTCTAATGTTCCCGTAATGTTCCCGTACTGTTCCGTAATGTTCCGTAATGTTCTAATGTTCCCGTAATGTTCCCGTAATGTTCCCGTAATGTGCCGTAATGTTCCGTAATGTTCCATGTTCCGTAATGTTCTAATGTTCCCGTAATGTTCCCGTAATGTTCCGTAATGTTCCGTAATTTTCTAATGTTCCCGTAATGTTCCCGTCATGTTCCCGTGATGTTCCTGTAATGTTCCGTAATGTTCCGTAATGTTCTAATGTTCCCGTCATGTTCCGTAATGTTCCGTAATGTTCCAGTTTTCGCCCGCGCCCTAAGGGGCGCGCAACCCCGTTTTTTGGGGGGGCGACGACGCGCCGTGCCCGACGGTGCGCGGCGCTTGCGCTGCCCGCGCCGATCGGCGGGGGCGCGCGCCCTGGAATTCCGCCTGGCGACGAGGCTTGCAGGCGAAAGGGGATCTCGCACCCGATCTGGATATTGCGCACGAGGAAAAAGGGTGCGTGGCGCACGCGCGCGCGCGTCCACGCGCGCAACCGCGCGAGGCGAGAACCGCGCGCCGACCTCGCGCCGCATTGCGTCTGCGCGTGTGTGATGTGCGTGTTGCATATTTGTATATGTACATGATATATGTACGTATGTGTATATACATATATATATATATATACCATGCGCATTTGTAAGGCAGCATGCACGCGTACGATATCTATGCATGTGTGTAACGATATCTATGTGTGTGATATGTACGTGTAGACACGCGCACGCGCGCGCGCCCATGCGCGCGCGTGTGCACGCATGCCACAACAATGATCTGGATATTGCTGCACGGTGAATTGCTGGCCCTCTGCCGACCGCGTTTCTTGTGGAGACATCGGAACTATCTCGACCCCGTCCCCGTGTTTGCCGCAGGTCGTTCCGGTGCGCAGCGCATTCATTCCGTGGACCAGGGAGCTCTATCTGTAGGCCCGATGGAGATCGGGAGGCGACGCAATGCCGCCGAAGGGCAAGCCTGGCGCCAAGAAACCGAAGGCCGACCCCGAGACTCTCAAGCGGGACAAGGCTGCGAAACGCAAGGCCAACGCTGATCACGAAAACTTGATGCAACGCTTCAGGACGGCTCGCGGCAGGAACATGTGTAATTGTGCACATACCCAGAATTCACGGCCATCCTGGCGCGCTCCGAGCCCATTAACCCAGGGCCCATCGACGAACCCCATACCTCTAATCCCTTTCCTCGTCGCCCCCCCTAGATTTTTCCTTTTCGAGGACGGCCATGGCCAAGGCCAAGCAGGATGTCAAGGATGAGTACAAGAACTACTCCAAGGGCAGGGACGCCGAGTGGATCGCGAAGTTCAAGAAGTACGGCGCGACCCGTGTAAATCTATCCCACCCCGACGCACAGCCACTGCCACGTGTCAGAAGGGGGATACTGATATATGTGTATATCGATGTACACACATGTACGTATGCTTAGGTGTATATATATAGCTATATTTGTAAGTTTGACATACCAACGCACTCGCATGAACAGACTAGACATGTGGAGCGTGGTATCTATGTATAACACTGCAAGCGCATATACATACACACGCCCATATATATATATGAATAAATAAATAAGTGTATATATGTACATATATATATGTGCAACTGTGTGTGCACTATGACCAGAAGGGAACTTCGACTGGGTGATTTCCGAGAAGACCGAGCGCGAGAAGAAGACCACCACCAAGGGCGAACTGGACAACTGGAAGTCCTTCGACGCATTGCTGACGCTGCGAGGGTGGACACCCTCGAACGAGAACACGGAATTTGGGAAACGGCGAGCGCCGTTCTTTAAGAGGCGGAGGAGGAGGAGGAGGAGGAGGAAGAGGAGGAGGAGGAGGAGGAGGAGGATTATTGATGGGGGCAAGTAGGAGGAGGGAGAAATGGGGAAAGGGACAAGACATCAATGCAATGGCCCAGCTATAAAATTCAATTGTCGCTCGTGCACTTGCCTCGTCCGCGCTCGCTTGTGGCACGAGCGGTAACGCTATAAATATAAGTATCCATCGCAGCTGCTATGCTTGGGCAGTGGCGGTGAAGAGCTACTGCGAGAAGATGCCTCGCACGCACGTGAAGGTGACGGCACACATTATAATGTGCAGACTTGCCCCCTGCAGGCCACCCTTTTCTCTAAGGTGGGAGAGGGACCCACGTCCCTAGGCTTATCCTCTCCCGCCCTCGCCCCACCCTCGACTTGACCCCCCCTCTCTCACCCCCCTGGCCCCACAAGAGCCAGCGCGATGTTTCCGATCGATCCGAGGTTGATCCCCAGACTGGAGAATATCTGTATCGACGCATCGAACTGCAGGGTTCGGATATACTGTTACATGAGCAGGAGCTGGCCACCACCAACACCACGGGCAACGCCCCGATGGACAAGTGCACCCCCGTTAAGTACAAGCGCAGCGCTGGTGGCATGAAGTCCTCGGGCTCGAAGGACAAGGTTCCCAGGGCCCTGAGTCCACCGATCCATCGAACGATGCAAGATCGAGCCGATGCATCGGAGATGATGTCGATGTCATGGTTTGTTTGATGTGCGTCGGTCGAGTCTCGAAGGCGCCACCCCCCGACGACAGCAGCTCGCACGAAGAGAGCTATGAGTCGTCGGATGAAGGCGAGGACGACGGCATGGAACCCGAGGCATTCCATATATATATATATATATATATATATATATATATATATATATAAGACACTCCCCGCCCCCCTTGGGACCAGACTGCCGTGTGTCGCCCGCGTTTCGGTTTGAGATCGGCCTCGAGGCTGCAGGGGGTCAATCGAACGATCGACCGATCAGCCCCCCGCCCTCCCGCACCTCGAGGCGGCGCCACAGCCCGCGGCACCGAGCGGGGAGTGCAGCAAGGTGCTCGGCGAGTCGACGCGGCTCGACGCCCTCCTCTCTGGAATCGACGTGGGGCAGGGGTAGGGATCCCCTCGCATCTCCACCCCACCTGGCGTCGATCGACCGATGTTTCGGATCGCCCTTCGGACGCGCCTGTGACGGGAGTGCGGGAGGTGGACGAGATCCCGTGGATGAAGCCCTTCAAGGCCCAGGTCGAGAACTCCATCAAGGCACTGAACACGGTCAAGGTTGCTATGACGGCGACGCTGCAGGGAAAGTCAGCGACTCAGACGACGCCGTCGATCGATAACGTGATCGACAACCGATCGCGACAACCAGTCCGATATCGATTTCGAACCGACCCATGTTCGAACTCGATCGAGCAGGCGAAGTGGGGACGAGGGGCAGAAGTTAATGAGGGTAGAGGAGGAGGAGGAGGAGGAGGAGGAGGAGGAGGGGGAGGAGGCGGATGAGGGAGCGAGGAGGGCGATCTGGAGATATGGTGCGATCGGAGGGCGCCCCCGCCCGATTGAATGCCGAGGCCACCCAAAGACCTGGACATGGCCAGCATGAATGACAAGATCGACGAGGCCATGGCTTGTCTTGCCCCCGCCCATGCAGCGACAGATGAGGAGAGATCTCGAGGAGGCGACTGAGGGGTAACGAAGAGGAGGAGGAGGTGGAGGAGGAGGAGGAGGAGAAGGAATGAATAGGAGGAACTAGGCACTAGACAACCGAAAGAAAAACACGCACGAAACGTAGACCCTCAGGTTGACGTCCTCGGTGGACCCAGCGAAACGGCCAGGAGGGGGGAGGGAAGGCGGGAGAGGATACGACAAGGATGAGGAGTTTGCCGTGGGGACAGACGCATCCTTTTCTGCGCAATGCAGTGGCGTTAACACGTGCAGGAGGGCTCATGCGTCGAAATCCCGAGTTGCATTGCATTGATCCCAGTGTCCTGGGAGGCCAATCGCGTGTGGATGCTCATCGCCCCAGTGATGGCCAGCGTGCGGCAAGCGCAAGAGGCGCTTGCTAAGTAAGGTACGGTCCAGCTCGCCCCCGACCATTCCTTGTTATATTGTTGTGTGACGTGTTTGATGTTATGCTCGCCCCCCCACCCCCCTCCCCCCCCCCTCCCAGCCTGGCACCGACAATGATTGTGGTAGGCAGCAGCTCGAGCGTTCGACTGAAGGCCCTGTGCGGGAGATCACAAGCCACGGGGAAGATTCAGACTTCAGAATTGCTCGCCCGTGCCCGCACCGTGCTCGTGCGCTCGAGGACAGTGGCGCGATGACCTCCTCCTCCCCCTCCTCCAGCAGTGTTGCCAATATGCTTGCAAGTTAGATCGGCCGACCATCACCAAGGGTATGTGTGTGTGCATATGTTTGTTGCCCGCTCCTGATGCTGCCGCTGCCAACGAGCATACACAGGTACAGTCGGGGCGCTGAAGAAGGAACCCTTTTCGTTGGGTAGGGGCTCGGTGTTATTCGATTGTTCCACAGTTTGCTCAAGGTTTTACTTAGGTTTTCGATGGGGCGCCGAAGTTCAGCTCATGGATAGGCTGGGCCCCGTTCCTTATTTAGGGCTCCTCAGGTCAACGCCCCGACTGTACCCCCGAGCAGAACAGTCGTGATGGTTGAGGGCAACTCTTTTGTTGTGGCGCGTGGGCGGTTCATTGATATCGCTTCGCTTCCGTAGCATTCCCATCGAGCTGTCAGCAGTTTTCCGTTTCGGCGGTGAACGTCGATCCGATGGCAGGCCGTGCTGCAGGGTCGTCCATGCTAGTGGATCTTGCGAGCCCGTATCAACCCGCGCTTGCAGAGGACCGACGGCGGGTAGCCAGAATGAATGGTGCACCTGGGCACTCACACTATATATGTGTATATATGTAGTTGTGTATGTATATGAGTGGAGGGAGGCATGGGATAAAGGGGGAGGGGGGCAAGCGAACGGAGAGTCCCCCCACACACACACACATACGCACATGTATATGCATATTAGGTATGTGTGTATGTGTGTATGTATGTATGTATGTATGTATGCATGCATGCATGCATGCATGCATGCATGCATGCATGTATGTGTATTGTATGTGTGTATGTATATGTGTATGTGTATGTGTATGTGTATGTGTATGTGTATGTGCATGTGCATGTGTATGTGTAGGTGTAGGTGTAGGTGTAGGTGTATGTGTATGTATATGTATGTATGTATGCATGCATGCATGTATGTATGTATGTATGTATGTATATGTGTGTATGCATATGTGCGATGTCGTGCCCAGGCCCACTCTTCGTTCCAGGCAGCTCGATCCAAGGACGCTGGCGATGACGGAGCAGGCCTCAGGCAGTACCTGCTGAGCAGGTGGCACGAGGGCACGCTCGCGGCGAAGGATGTTGCACATGCTATAATTATTTTTCGCTTGACCCTCCCACCGCAAAGGCACCCCCCCGATGTGTTTCCCCCCCCCCCCCAGTTTTTTTGGTGTTCGTCCAGCGAGGGCGGTCTGCGGGCTGAGGATCGCGCGAAGAGTAGTTATAGAAGGACGTATGCAGCATCGCCTACCACGCCACGCGGGCGGGGGCCATCGGAGTCGCAGACTTGTCTCTAGACCCAGCCTCTGGGCACCACTCGGACCACCTTCGGAAGACCATCGGCGAGCAGAGCCGAGAGAGTATGTATTCGTTTGATCTCACCGTGTGGGACTCTGAGAGTCAGATGCGGACATCGATCAAGTTTCCGATGTTCTTGCCCCATGAAAGCTTTTACTGGAGTTACAAAGCACACCCAGAGGAATTCGACATGTCTGGCATTGCTTCAACCGACCTCCCTGCTCATTACATCGACCACGAGGTCACACGGAGAAAAGGCAACAAATCCTTTCCGATATCATATTGCTCAGACGGCGTTCCACATACAAAAAAAAAATCATTCATGATTTTCTCGTGGGCTAACATGATAAGTGGCACTAGGCACGTTATCGCAAACGTTCGGAAGCGCGACTGCTGCCAATGCGGCTGCAGGGGCATGTGCACGATAGGGGCCATTATGGCCGTGATCATCCGGAGTCTGAACATATTGGCAGACGGCGTATTCCCTGCCCTCGGCCACGACCACAAACCTTTCGAGTCGGAATGGAGGTCAAACTACCGCGGTTTCCCAATAGCCGACGGACTGTGTGCAGCGCTCTGCGAAATGAGAGCTGACCTACTTGAGTTTATTACAGCCTTGAGATTTAAGCGTTGGGACAACGTGAGGTCGCCCTGTTTTTGCTGTGATGTAGTTAAAAATTCCCTATTCAATTTTCCGCTGTCCATCGATCTCTGCAGTTGGGCAGATAAAGGCCCACAGGTGCACGCAGGAATGGTGGCAAGGTGCAGGAAGAGAATCGTTGTCCGCAGCAAAGCAGCGCTGAAACGTCTTTTGCAGTGTTGCCGTCACTCTGATGACTTATGGGGTTTTGGAACTTTCAAGTCATGCCCCGAGTTCGGGCTGACAGCTGGGTGGAGAATATTAGTGTCGGGGCGCGTGACAGATACGCACACGCTCGATGACATCGACGTCGGACCTTCTCAGCCCTTGGAAATTGATCTGTTTGACACTACCAACGAAGTTGGCCTCAATTTTTGTGCGCCTATCTTCAACGTGCTGGGCTTTGCGATCTCGATGCTGGCCTTAGATTATATGCACGTGTGCGATCTTGGAACATCGCAGTTTTTAGTTGGAGCTATTCTTTGGGCGTTAATCGAGACAAATTTTTGCGGCAGTCGGGCTGGCACGATGATGATGAGAAACCACGACAACATCCTCCACCTTCGCAGGCGCCTCAAAGTGTTTTATCTTGCCCACAGTGCTGTGTTCGAACGCGGGAAAAGAAACCGCATATGGAAGTTTTCGATCAAAATGCTCGGACACAAGGATAAACCCAGGCTGGCGGCCAAGGCCGCCGAAACCAGACACTTAATCCCTCTACTGCCCATGTTGTGTGATGAGAACCCGACAGTTTTCACTGGACAGTGGTCATTATTCCCGCATGCCGGCAAGGCCTTCTGTAAAGCCCAAGAGATTATTGAGTCCAGCCCTCGCCGTATAAGTGCAGCACAACAGGCAGAGCTTGAGAAAAACATGTTGTTCTTCCTTCAGTACTACAAAGCTGCGGGCGGGCACCTGGTATTCAAACACCACGTGCTTTACCACCTGACAAAGCAAAGCAGGTTGGCTGGCAATCCTCGTTTCTACTGGACATATGTGGACGAAGGAGTTAACCGCGTGCTGTCACAAGTTGCGCATAGCGTGCATCACGGCAGCACGTTTTACGTTCGGATGCTCGAGAAACTGGCTCCTCTGTGCTAGCCTGGCATGTAAAAAGGGGATGAAAAAAAGGGGGGTGCTTTTGCGATCCCTTTTTCGCCTCTGGCCGCCCCGCGTGGGAAGGGCGCGGAGGGCCCAAGGGACAGAGACGAGGAGGAGAAAGGCGAGGAGGACGGAGAGGTTAAGGGAAGGAGGTTCGAGGAGCAGACTCCCCTCTCGTGTTCTCCCCTCTCCCCATCCTTACCCTGCCCGCCCGCCCCTCCCCCCCTTCGCTTGCGCGCTACTCCCTTTCCAGGGCGCAACGTTGAGATCGATCACTGCATGACGAACGGACAACACGCACCCATACCCATAGGGGGGTCGTTGGGAGGAGGACTGGCTATGGGTATGTGTGCGGGTTGTCGGACACTGGGGAACGCTCCCGTTCGAGCGGGGGCCGCCATCCGACAACACGCGCGCGATCTCCGATCCCCCTATGGGTATGGGTGTGTGTTGTTGGTTCGTCATGCCATGTGTGGCGCCGGGTGTTCAGTGCGTGGAGGGGGGTGAACCCTCGAAGACCTCGAGCTAGGATCGATCACTCGAGCCCGACGCTGAAATGCTGGCGCGTCGCGGTCAAGCTCGGTCCAGGTCGAGGCCGCCTAGGATGCACTTCCAGGGCAGGCCCGAGCGCCAGAGGCGCGGTGGGGAAGGCTCGAGGGTGGAAGAGGCAGGGACGTTGTGGCAAGGAAGGGTCATTCGAGTCCGAATCGGGTTCCTCGGCGCACGTTCGCGCGCCGATCTTCATCCAAAGGTGCCGAAACGTTACGATGGATAGACTATCAATTCAGCGATCGATCGAAAGATCGATCGATCGCTGCATCGATCGTCTATCCATCGCAACCTTTCGGCCTTGACCTCGAAAACCGCCGATGCTAGCCCCGCCCCGCGCGAGGACGTGATGAAGATGGCGTGGTGAGGCTGGCGATCGACAGCACGCTGCAGAGCCTCCCACCGCCACACACACACACACATGCAAAGACACAATACACGCATTACACACAAAAACACGCATACACACACTCACACACACTCACACACACATACATACACACACACACGCACGCACGCACGCACGCACGCACGCACGCACGCACAACACGCTCAACACACATCGAGGGCAACGCCGTTACGACACACGGGGAAACTAAACCAAACTCGCGAACAGACGCACTCGCGCACGCACGCACGCACGAACGTGCACACACACACACACACACACACACACACACACGCACACACACACACTCACTCTCCCTTGACTCCCAGTACTGGTGTTTTCGGGCGCACACAAAATGTTGTGTCGCGACGCCCCAGGGCAGGTGCCGTAAAATCGGCGCCTGAGTCACGCAGGTGTTCGAGTCGGGCGCTACGGCGCTGCAGTTCGCCCCCCTCTCATGCCCTCGAACGGTTTGCACGTGCTCACCCGCTCCCGATTTCACCCTCAGTGCACACAGCATTCGTTATGAAGCTGAGGCCGACGCGTGTACACCCAATAGTATGGCCTCGGATTGAAATTTGTGCCACACCTCCTTTTTTTCCCTGCCTCTCTTGTCTCCATGTGCGTGTATGTATATATATATATATATGATCATACACACGGAAGTGGTGATGATCTACGAGCGACGGCACAGCCGTGGCCGCCTGGACCCGAGCAGCATGCACGATTGGGACTGTGATTCCTTGCGGTTGAAATGGCATCCCTTTTGTCATTGTGTCTTGTCTCTCTCTCTCTCTCTCGCTATCTCTCTCTCTCTCTCTCTCTCTAACTCTCTCTATATATATGTACTTACATATATGTATATATATACATACATGATATACCCACTTCGTTCGGGAGAGATCTAGTTCTCCCTCGGCAAGTTAGGCGCTACGTGAATATTCACGTCTGTCCGCCGCTCGCGGAGACGACTCAGCGGCGCGGGAGCACGGGCTGAAAGGCCTGCACGCCATTATGCATGGCACGCAACGAGACGAAAAGAGCGGGCGCGCGCGCCCGTTTCGGCAATCCCTTTCTCCGATTATGTGATGAATTAAATACTACCACGCGGTAGCGGTTAACCTTACCCGTAGAATTATACGAATCACAACTGCGAGCCCTGAATTCCGAATTTCTCCTGCGAGCGCTCGATTCCGATATCCTGGTGTTGCAATTTTGTTTTAGAAAATTGCTTCGTTCTCGAAGATGCAATTTAAAATTGCTCCTCTCGGGGACGTTGCAATTTAATTGCGCCCGCAAGATGTGAAGGTACCCGCATTTCCCCCACTTCGCTCCCCCACGAGGCCAGATGGGAGCCCCGTCGAGAAGGGGTCAGCCCTACTTCGCTCTTTAGGCGAGGCCAGTCGAGGCGGGGTCAGCCCTGCCCGCATTTCCCCCAATTTGCTCTCTAGGCGAGGACAGCCCCCCCCCCGCATTTCCCCCTCTTCTCTCTCTCTAAAGCCCCGTCGAGAAGGGGTCAGCCCTACCCGCATTTCCCCCACTTCGCTCTTTAGGCGAGGCCAGTCGAGGCGGGGTCAGCCCTGCCCGAATTTCCCCCATTTCGCTCTCCAGGCGAGGCCGGCTCCCCACGCATTTCCCCCTCTTCTCTCTCTCTCTAAAGCCCCGTCGAGACGGGATCAGCCCTACCCGCATTTCCCCCACTTCGCTCCCCCACTTCGCTCCTATGCGAGGCCAGTCGAGACGGGGTCAGCCCTGCCCGCATTTCCCCCACTTCGCTCTTTGGACGAGGCCAGCCGAGACGCCCCCCTCCGCAACCCGCGCTCCCCTCCCTTTCAGCTGACTTCGGCTGTCTTCCCAGTCTATCCTTTCGCATCAATCTTGAGAGATCTCGCGCGCTCTTTGCTTTCCCCATCCCGCAGCCCCCGCGCCATGGCGGTGGTGGTAACTGCGACTTCCTGCGGGGCAGGATTGGATGCATTGACCGAAACGGAGCGCAGAACGTGGCTGGACATCAATGGAGAGGAAGTGCGCGCGGCCAGGGCCGCGGCTGCCTCTTCCTCCAAGAGCAAGGAAGTGAAGAAGCCTCTGGCAATCAAGGACTTCGACGCGAGCATGTGCAACGGCCTGCTCAAGAACGCGAAGGACGCGTTGAACTTGAGCGCTCGCGTGGAGCACATCGAGAAGCAGCCCGTGGACAAGCAGTGCCGCGCTCTGTTTGAGATGCTCGGCCTGGGCCCCGACGCCGACGAGAACGAGGCGGCCAAGGCGATGGTGAAGGCAAGTCGGCGCTTTCACCCAGACAAGCTCGGGCCAATACTCGAAGGCACAGAGCTTCCGCAAAATATGAAGCATGGAGCGATTCACTGCTACCAGAAGATGAGAGGCATTTGGGAGTCCGTGAAGGAGCACCTCTTCCCCCGACCGACCACGCGCATGACGGCGGTGCAGTACCTGCTGGTAAACCTGGGAGAGGACAAAGAAAAGGGCCTCTTCTTGGATCTCAACTGCGCGAGTCTCGATGAAGAAGAGAATAGGGCAGGCATGACCATCGCAGTTGACGTGCCCGACCCTATCTTTCAGGAACCATTTCTCGTGGAGTTCCAGCCGTTCCCGGATGAGCCTTCCGCGTCCGGGGTTCGCTTGTACGAGAAGGACTACAGCTGGATCTTCGCGTCCTCGATGAGCGACACCCCCCATTACAGGCTACGCGTCTTCAAGATGCTCAATGGCGAGGAGGGGCCGGCGCAGGAAATCATCCTGCAGGACTTCTTGGGGAGTGAGGAGGAAGAGAGCGAGGAGCTCGAGCGGGGGCCCGAACAGCGCTCCCGCGGGGGCGGCAGCGAGGAAAGGAAGGACACCGGCCTGGGCAACTTCGAGGACGATTTCGAGGACAGGGGGCAGTGGGTCGATCTGGAAGACCTACGCCGTCGCTTCGATGCTCTGCGTAGTGGAGAGTGCACCCGAGGCGAGAACGGCCTGCGCACACCGGACCACGCCTCCGAGATCAAGCGCGCGAAGGCCCCCCCTCGCGCAAGAGGGGGGCGCAGGGTCAGGGAGCGCAGGGTGCGTCACCTCATTCGACAGATCGAAGAGCTTGAGGAAAAGCTGCGGAAGAGGATGATGTCGAGCAGCAGGGGCGACAAGGGGGCAGGAAAGACCGGCAAGGAGTCTGGAAGGAGCAGCTCGCGACGCAAAGGTGCAGGTGGCGCGAAGGGCACAGCGCATGACGCCGGAGGGAAGAGGAGGGCCCCGTGGAGAGGCGCGGCAACTGGGGGCTTCGAGAAGAACGGCCAGGGCGGGGAGAAGCCCACGAACAAGAGAAAAGGTGCTGGAGAGGGAAAGAGTGCAGCTACTAGCAAGGGCGCTGAGAAGGGCACGTACACTACCCGGGACAATCGGAGGTACAAGGAGGACGCCGGATCCTGGACGGCGCCTTCTTGGAGTAGGAGGTCAGGGCGCGACTGAGCAGGGCTCTCGCGCGCGCGGCTAAGAATAGCTGCCTGCGCCTCCCCCCCTCCCTCTTCGATGTAGCGCCGGCCGGCCGCGTCGAGGAGCTATGAAAAAAAGCTTGCAGCGATGGTCAGAGCCCCGCGGGTCGCGCATTGGGAGCATTCTAATGCGTACCTCTTTCCGGAGTACTTCTCGACCAGCCCGGGTTGTCTGGGTCGTCGTTGTGTAGAGACAGATTCCCGCCCCCCCGTTCTTTCTTGCAGCGATGGTCAGAGCCCCGCGGGTCGCGCATTGGGAGCATTCTAATGCGTACCTCTTTCCGGAGTAATTCTCGCCCAGCCCGGGTTGTCTGGGTCGTCGTTGTGTAGAAACAGATTCCCGCCCCCCCGTTCTTTCTTGCAGCGATGGTCAGAGCCCCGCGGGTCGCGCATTGGGAGCATTCTAATGCGTACCTCTTTCCGGAGTAATTCTCGCCCAGCCCGGGTTGTCTGGGTCGTCGTTGTGTAGAGACAGATTCCCGCCCCCCCGTTTTTTCTCGCGCTGTCCGTGCTGACCCCCCCGCCCTGCCTCAGACTATCAAAGTAATCGAAAGAAAGCAAATTCGAGGTGAGAAGAGGTCCCCCTGAATAAGAGAAGAGGTTGCCCCGTACAACAGTCGAAGGAAGATCACTCATGTCGGTGAAGTGAGCGAGTAGAAGGACACAGTTAGCAAGAGGTCGCAGACAGGGCGAGACAAGGCGGGCGAGTGAGCAAGCGAGACCACCGGAAGATGAAATGGGGTGAGCAGAGCGAGTGAGCAAGCGAGGCCACCGGAAGATGAAATGAGGTGAGAAGAGCGAATGAGAAGCGGGAAGTCCAGCAAGGCGAGGAATATTCTTATGCGTACGTCTTTCCCGAGTAATTTTCGACCAGCCTGTGTTGTTTGGGTCCTCGATGTTGAGAGGTCCTCTTCTTCTCCTTCCCGCCTCCGGCCTCAGCCAGATGAAATGAGGTGAGCGCGGAGCGAGTGAGCAGCGAGACCACTCGGAAAGTCGAGCCAGAGCCCTCCCGAGTAATTTTCGACCAGCCTGTGTTGTTTGGGTCCTCGATGTTGAGAGGTCCTCTTCTTCTCCTTCCCGCCTCCGGCCTCAGCCAGATGAAATGAGGTGAGCGCGGAGCGAGTGAGCAGCGAGACCACTCGGAAAGTCGAGCCAGATCCCAAGGGTTTAGGGTTTAGGGTTTAGGGTTTAGGGTTTAGGGTTTAGGGTTTAGGGTTTAGGGTTTAGGGTTTAGGGTTTAGGGTTTAGGGTTTAGGGTTTAGGGTTTAGGGTTTAGGGTTTAGGGTTTAGGGTTTAGGGTTTAGGGTTTAGGGTTTAGGGTTTAGGGTTTAGGGTTTAGGGTTTAGGGTTTAGGGTTTAGGGTTTAGGGTTTAGGGTTTAGGGTTTAGGGTTTAGGGTTTAGGGTTTAGGGTTTAGGGTTTAGGGTTTAGGGTTTAGGGTTTAGGGTTTAGGGTTTAGGGGGTTTAGGGTTTAGGGTTTAGGGTTTAGGGT